CCTCATATCAACATATATGCATATCAAATCATATTAGAACACTTACTTCAAACATTCATATATACCATCCCTAAACATGTACAAATCAATCATCGTTTAATCCATACAACATGTACATGAACCAACCTTACCACATAGCATCATACCATCTTAAACAACCTCTCAATGACAATACCTCAGAACATCATATCCAAATCAGTTTTTATCCTTGTTATGCCTAACAACTCAAAAACATTATAACAACATACACCTCCCTTCAACAACTGTCGAAGCAAATGAAACACAGAGAGTCATACTCATCCAAATGATCTCAAACCTATCTCAAAAGAAAGCTAAGAGAATAAGCTATAACTCTTATGAAAACATAAAATTCTAAAATGATTATCTTCTTAGCTAAAAATTCAAATATCACGACAAATATATTCAGCACTTATAGCTGGACCATTGATCACCCAAGCAGCTATTACTGGAGTTCTAGACCTTCATTTATCCTGATTCAAGTTCCACTGAAAAGATAACATCTAAGGATTCAACTTTCCTGATGATGTCAATACGGTACTCATACTAGCACCACAAAACTTCAGCGAAAACATCCTCTATACCAGACAACAATATTATATCAACCTCTAAAACCACGAAAATACCTCAATCCTTCCAACTCACTTCTTTCCACCTCAACTAGTATTCAAGCTTCCCTCTACAATCCTAAACCAAAATAACTCACATACTCAACACTAAAGACTTAGAGAATAAAATTCACATGCTACCTAAACCATAAAAGGTTAACATGCAAACACCAACACTCAAGGAAATTACCAACGTTCCAAACTCTCATCAAGAATATTAAAACTCCAATTCTCAACATACAACCTCCTTGGATTAAACCGCAACAACTATAGATGTGAGAAACTCCACCAATCGTAAACTCTTAATATACTCGACAAATCAATGTCTCACCCACATCCAAGATTCTAATAGTTCTAGTTGGCTAGCACAAGGCTTCGTCCACTACTACTGGCACATATGCTCGCAACACGAGCGATACCACTCAACTACTACTTCTTACGTAAGCAAGAAGTATCAAAACAAATAAGCAATCATGAATAGCATCAAATAAACTATATCATGTCTTTCAGCCAAACTATGAGAAAACAATATAAGGGTAAGCACAACACTAACAACACAAGGGAAATATCATCATCATTATCATTATCATAAAACAAAACATTTTTAGAGTACACACAATTAAATAAACAACAAACATAGTTGTTCATCATTAGCACATCAATAAGTTCCACAATTTATTTCATCATCCATCTACCAAACAAGCATAGTAGCCTCATAACCCCCGGCCGATTGGATCAATCAGGCTCTGATACCACTAAATGTGACACCCTTACTACCCCAACACATATATAAATAAATCTTGTAAATAAACTAAAGAATAAAAATATTCAACGTTGGTAAAAGAGTTCATATAAAACCGTCAAAAATAATCAAAATAATTAAAAATGAAATTTAGAAGGTAAAACTTGAGAGTTTACAAATTGCTTTCAAAAGAGAAGGTATAACTCTAAATACATATAAAAATTTATCCTAGAATTCTCTGCCTCGATGTCACAATGTCAGAGCACCCCCAATAGTTGGGGTTTTTTGAGGGCTTTTCAAGTCCTGTGTACAGTTTTAGAGATAGAGGTGTCTCTTCGCGTCTTCCTTCATTTTTACCAGTTGAAGTTAGGTGTTCCGCTATACGGCATACTATCTCTGAGTGGGAGTAGGGATGGGGGTTTGTTTACTCTCTACTCCCAGTCGTACAAAAATTTCAAACAAGAGTTTTTCTGAGTCGCTCTTGTGAATGTCGACCCATTGGAGGATGGGGCGTTCTACTTCGGCGGGCTGCCAAAATTTCCCTTCTATTGGTGCCCCCGACCGTCTAGGTTTCATGGTGTGGGCCAAGTGAAGCTGACGGCTTCGGAGGCGGCCGCCATCGAGAACCTCGCCGCGCTTCCTCGTCCGCTGGATTGCAAGCTCGTTCTGTCGCTTGCGAACTCAGCGTACAGGGAGAGGGGCTTGGAGAGTGAGTATTTTGTTTTTTGGTGGTTTGTTGGAGTTTGTGTAAATTCCCTTTGCTGATGTGTTTTATTTCCTGTCTGTAGGTATCATGGGGAAGAACTTGTGGCGTGAGCTAAAGCATCGCTACAATGTTACCGAGCTCGAGGTCCCC